CAGATGCTGAGGCCGAGCCGAGAGGCAGCGGCAGATGCAGAAACAGAGAGACAGTCATGGGAGCGGAGGCGGAGGAGCTGAGAACAGCCAGGGTCCTGGAGAGGCCGGGCTGCAGGCCGAGCAACAAAGACAATGAAACAAGCAGGACACAGAGGCCACGGGGAGACCAAGACCGGGACAGGTCGCAGCCCTGCCCAAGGCCGCGCCGGGAGAAGCGGAAACATGAAGCCCCGTTTCCCAGCTTGGGGGGCCCTGGCTGGGCCTGAGCCCCAGTGTCTGTCCTTTGGGGCGGCTTGTCTGTGGGGCCGAGCGCCTGGGCGTCCCTGCAGCCCATCTGATGATGGGGAGGGGTGACAGTATTAATCCACATTTATTAGCCACTCTCTGCTAAGCCAAGAATGTGGTACCAAGCGGTGGAACACATGTAAGACTTGTCCTTGGGGTGCTGCCAGGCTAAAGGGACAAGCACACCGATCGTGGAAAATGAACTCCAAGGCCTGTGTTACTTGCCCCGTAGCGGGAGGGCAGGAGGCGTTCTGATCGGGGAATGAGTCCGCTTGATTGTGTGTGTCTGTGTGCGTGGATGTTAGACAGAAACAAGGACCACAAGTCAACACATGCGTATGGGTCACCAACCAATGTCTAGAGTAGACTCTAGAGTCTAGACACTGTTTAGACCTTGAAAATAATACACAGAAGCTTACGAGGAAGCGCTCGGCCCACTGGAGTATGGAAATGTGCAGATGACCCCATACCGAAGGAGAGTAGTGCAGAGAGCGGGATACTTCTGTAGAGTTTAGTGGCCTTGGACCTGTCTTTAAGGTCATTTGTTTGATTTCTGGCTTTGTCATTGACTACTGTTTGACCTTGGGGAAATTACTTCTGTTTCCTCAGCTGTGAAATGGGAACATTAATACCTCATTGAATGGTTGAAGATTAGTATGTGTTAAAGCACTTTGCAAAAAAATATCAGCTGTTGGTCCTTTGGCGCCGCTAGAGTAACCAAGGAAGGTGTGGCATTTTTGAGCTGGTACTTCAAGGACAGCTAAGATTTCAGAGTCCGGAGTCTGGCTGAAGTGGGGGCTGAGTGAAGAACTCCATACGGAGGGAATGAAATGAACAGTAGCCCACATACTGACTGAAAACCTAGAATGTGCTAGCAGATTGAGATCCAAGATGGTTAAGACCTATCCTCAAAGAGGGCAACTGAGAACATTCCCATTGTAGTGTGTCGTGAGTTTATATGATAGGAAAGCAGTGAAAGCGTGTATGGTAAGTTTATTTATGCCACAGACATTTGGGGGTCCAACATGTGGCAGGTATCTGTGCCAGCAGACAGGTAAGAAGTTAAAAAATGGCAAAGAGCTAGCCAGCCGTGGGCAAACTACGACCCGCAGGCCCGTTTGAAATGAATAAAACTAAAAAAAAAAAAAGACAGTACCCTTTTATGTAATGATGTTTACTTTGAATTTATATTAGTTCACACAAACACTCCATCCATGCTTTTGTTCCGGCCCTCCGGTCCGGTTTAAGAACCCATTGTGGCCCGCGAGTCAAAAAGCTTGCCCACCCCTGACTACTAGCCCCCTTGAAAGAACCTTCCCCCCAAAGCTGAGTAGCCCACACATCATACTCTTGCAGAGCTGGCTTTGACTGAGAAGACAAAGCCTCGAGTTACTAGGTCTGAACCTGAACTTGGGTTTAAAGATACAGTAGCCCCTCCAGGAAATGCCTGGTCGGGCCATAGGTAGCTATGAAAACATAGCAAGATAAAAAGAACTAATCCAAATAAAAACTATATAGATATGTGTAAACAAATTTTTAAATATGTTTTTAGTGATTTCAGAGGATAAGGGAGGAGAGAGGAAACATCAAGGATGAGAGAGAATCATTGATCTGTTGCCTCCTACCTGCCCCCCTGCTGGGGACAGCCTGCACCCTGGGCAACCTGCAGCCCACCCTGACCAGAATTGAACTGGTGACCTCCTGTTTATGGGTTGATGCTCAGCCACTGAACCACACCGGCCTGGCTAAAAATATATTTAAAAAAATAAAAATAACTAATCCAGATTATTAAATGGAAAAACTGCTGTGTACCATGCGTTGCCCCTTAGGAAGCTCAAGGTGGGATCTTTGTCTAAACAGCCCCCAGACCTTATCACATGAATGACTGCATGATTTGTTGGAGTTAAAAAGCATATAAATAGAATATTGCATCACTATTAACTCACATCATCTCTAAACTTAACACAAAAGACCAGCCAAGCACCTTTTCTGCAGAGCAAATTTTAAAAATATATTTATTGATTTTTTAGCGAGTGAGGGAGACAGAAACATTGATTTGTTGTTCCATTTACTATTTTTTAAATGTTTTTATTGATTTCAGAGAGAAAGGGAGAGAGCAAGAAACATCAACCTCAATCTGACTCCTGCACGCACCCCAACCTGGGATAGAACCAGCAACCCAGGCAAGTGCCCTGACTGGGACTTGAACTGGCGACCTTTCAGTGCACAGGATGATGCCCAACCAACTGAGCCACACTGGCTAGAGCTATGTTACTTCCTTTGACTCAGCAATTCCTTTTATAGGAACTAGGCCCAAGGAAATGGCTGGACAAGTACACAACGATATTACCACAAAGATGTTCACCCCTGCTCAACATTGCTTATCACAATGAAGAATGGGAATCAACGTAAATACTGAGCATCTATAAAAATAGCAATGTAGATGTGCATTTATTATCATAGAAAGAAAAAGAAAAAATGTACAAAAAATAAAAAATAAAAGAAAGCTGTGTTGCCCTGGCTGGTTTGGCTCAGTGGATAGAGCGTTGGCCTTCAGACTAAAGGGTCCCTGGTTCAATTCTAGTCAAGGGCGCATGCCCAGGTTGTGGGCTCATCCCCAGTGTGGGGCGTGCAGGAGGCAGCCAGTCAATGATTCTCTCTCATCATTGATGTTTCTATCTCCCTCTCCTTTCCTCTCTGAAATCAATAAAAATATATTTTAAAAAAGGAAAATGTATAGAACATACTAGTATGAATGGACAGAAACTGGCTTCCAAACAAAGTTATAGTATGATCCTATTTTTGTAAATATATATTAATATGTAGAGGCATAGGAGAAAATCTAGAAAGATAAAAAGGCTTAATAGTAGTGATACTAGATGTAAATTTTTCTAATTGCATTTTTTAAAATTTTCTATGAGAATATGTGTTGGTTATACAATAAATGAATATACATGTTTATTTTACATGTTATTTTAAATATATTGATTTCAGAGAGGAAGGAGAGGGAGAGAGAGAGAGAAACATCAATGATGAGAGAGAATCATTGATCGGGTGCCTCCTACACACCCCACATTGGGGATCGAGCCCGCAACCCAGGTATGTGCCCTGACTGGGAATTGAACCGTGACCTCGTGGTTCATAGGTCGATAACCATTGAACCATGCCAGCCAGGCCCATGTTATTGTCTTGAAGGTTGCTGAATAACTCAGGGAAGAGCTGATCAGAGTCTGAAACTAGAGCAGGAGCAAGAGGGTAGTGGGTATAGAAAGAAGGGGACCAATTTTTCTGATTGATAGGAAGCACTTAGACACACATTGGATATATCCTGTGGAGAGCAGGGGTGGGAGGTGTTCAGTTTTAACTGACTCAGGGCTGCTCAGCCTGATGAGCAAGGGGGAAGGATTGTGGTGAAGGGAGAGGAGCATTTTTCCTTCCCTTGGCTTCTGGAAGGACTGTTTATCCCTCTTACACTACTTTAGCATCAGTGCTGTCACACTTTTGGCTATTTCTGTCTCCCCAGAGGACCGTAAGTAACCCTGACTGATTCACTCTGTTTGGATCCTCAGCAACGAATCTACCAGAACCCACTAGATGTGAACTGGTGGCACTGTCACACCCCCAGCTCATCCCATAACAATACTAGCATTCTGTGCGGGCTCCTCTCATCTGCCAGGCACGGTACTAACAGCTTTTTGTGTATTAGATCATATAATCTTCATCATGACCCTATCAGGCAGAATTTGTTGATGGTGCCATTTAACAGATAAAGAAACTAAGGGGACTCTTTCCTCCTCCCCACTTGGGAATCTGTACTTGTTCTTCAATAAATCTCCACCTTTGCTATACCATCTTCAAAAAAAATAAAATAAATAAAAATAAACTAAGTCACAGAGAGGTTAAAGTAAAATGCCATGGTCACACAACAAGCAAAATGACACTCTTAATGTCTCTATAATCATGTGAAGTTTGCACAACTTCTGTGAATTCAGTGTGGCAGGAGCTTCCAAACCCATTTGATAGATGAGGAAAGTGAGACTCAAGAGAGGTGATTTTTCCCAAGGTTACATGCGGGGAACAATACTAAAAACGAAGTTGAAGTAAGGATAAGATATACACATGGCAACATGAATAAATCTTCAAAATAGTGCTGAATTGCCCGGCAGGCGTGGCTCAGTGGTTGAACATCGACCTATGAACCAGGAGATTGAGGTTTGATTCCTGGTCAGGGCACATGACCGGGTTGCGGGCTCGATCCCCAGTGTGGGGTGTGCAGGAGACAGCTGATCAATGATTCTCTCTCATCATTGATGTTTCTGTCTCTCTCTCCCTCTCCCTTCCTCTCTGAAATCAATAAAAATATATTTTAAAAAATAGTGCTGAGCCCTGGTCAGTTTGGTTCAGCGGATAGAGCATCTGCCTGCAGACTGAAGGGTCCCAGGTTCAATTCCAGTTAAGGGCATGTACCTTGGTTGCAGGCACATCCCCAGTTGGGAGTGTGCAGGAGGCAGCTGATCAATATTTCTCTCTCGTCGATGTTTCTAACTCTCTATTCCTTTCCCTTCCTCTCTGTAAAAAAAAATCAAGATATATTTATAAAAAAATAGTGCTGAATGAAAAAATTCACAGAAATGTATTCATATATATATATTAATATATAAAACCATTTGCATAAATTTATACTGTATACTAGCCCTAGCTGGTGTGGCTCAGTTGACTGGAGCATCATTCTGTACACCAAAAGGAGAATTTGATTCCCCCCAGGTTGTGGGTTGGGGTATGTGCAGGAAACAACTGATAGATGTCTCTCTTTC